GTGATCTGGTCTAAGGCGTCATAGTGAAGGACACTGTCTCCTGAAGAGGGTATGGTCCACAGGCTAATTCCTAAAGACTTTGCTTCTGCCTGAAACTCATGCATGTAGGCAAGGGAGACAGTGACATTGAGGAACCCAAAAGAGGCTGGTAAGATTAAAAGTGAAAAACATGTTCTTGGTGGATCACAAGCTTCTGAGGGCACAGTGGAAGAGCCTGGGAAAGCAGAGCTGTGGCTCTTGACGTATGTTGACAATCTTCTATCTACACAAGTTACTCCAATGGCAGCAGGCCTAAATGCAGTAGGACTCTAGGCAGTTCAGGCCTGAGGCCTTTCCCACTCACTCTATCCAATTCAGGTGACCTTCTTGGTGCTTACACGAACTCACAGCATCCAGGGACCCATGGCTTCACAGCATTTACACAGGTGCTGACTAAGCTAAGCTACAGTGCCACTTGGCTGAAAAACTTAGGAAACCAGGCATTAGAAACACTTGAACTGGAGTTTTTACACTTAACTTATAAATAAGTATGTTAGATCTAATTAACAGAGACAAGATATAAATCCTTGTTTCCTTACCAACTGTTCCTACTCCAGGACTTGCTGTCTTAAGGAGTGGTGCTGCATGCAGGTGAACTTGTTTCCACTCTGGTCCTCAAGGTCGAATGCATTAGTTCTTTCCTTCCTTTCCAACCACACTGTGCTCTTATTTCAACCACCTCCTCTGCACCAAAGCCATTTACGTTTCCTAACCCACCAAGCTTCATCCCTCCCGGTGGCCCGCTGTGCCAGTCAGTTCTTCTACCTGAAGTATTCTCTGATCCCATGGCTGACTCTTTTTATCATTTTCCTCTCAGATTCTCAGAAAATCTTTACCTGGTCCCAGTCTAAAGCAACTACTTGGTCTTCATCACATGGCTTCATTTCACTTATTTGACCTGATTTATTCCCGACACATATAACAGATGCTGATTTAAATGCTGGGTGGATCAATTAAGTGTTTGGTGCTGGGATTCAAGAAGATCACCTCGGAGGCTGGAGAGATGGCTCAGCAGAGTGGAGTTTAGATCCCAGCAACCACATAACAAAGTGGGTGAGCCCCATAAATGCCCCAGTGCCAAGGAGGATGGAGACAAGAAAATCAATGGAACTGGCTGGCTTCCAACTTAGCCAAAACATAAACCCTGCTTTCTGAAAAGGGAGGTGCAAAGTCTCAAACCAGAAAACAAACATTTCATTTTTTGAGGGCTTGCCTTTTCAGAATATTGATATATTTTTATTTTTTCACCTAGAAATTATACTGAATTCAACAAAAGGAACCATCTAGCAATTATCATATTGCTTCTAACTATTACCTGGCTGAAGCATTTTAAAATAGTTTTGTACAAGTTGAGGAACTTTTACTCAAAACAGGGGCCTTACATCTGAACCAAGATTTCAGAGTTTTCAAAGTCTAAAAATGCCCAGACACCTCCACAGATTCGGCCACAATGGGCCATGCCTGAGACTTGTTACACTAATAGTATTTCCTTCTATAGTTACATAGAAAGCATTTCCTTCTACTAGCATCTACTTCTTTGCTCTTTTAGCAACACATGTAAGAGGGATGAGATGCCAGTAGAATGGTGGGTACCACTTCTATCCAAAGGATCTTTATCTTTTGAGATCCAATTTGGGTTGAATATTTGTACACCTGCACAAACGATGAGGTTGTTCTTAAGTTTTCCTTATTCATTTCTTGCCAGTATGTGCCAACATTTTTAAATTAAGCATCAGATTCTAAGTGTATACATACAGCTTACGTAATTCTACCAGACCTGGCTTATGTCATGAATCAGGGGTAATGTGACCCTTGACCATCACAGCATCAGAAGCAATCCTGTCTTCTCTTTTCCATTTCTCTAGCTCTCCTTCCATTTCCTGTAATAGGAAGTATGCCAGGCCCGCAAAGAAAGCATGCATCCATAGCATCAATTCCACTTCAAAGCACATCTGACCAAACAGTAAAGCACTTTGTCTAGTTTCAATTCAATCTGCAAAGGCCTTAAGCTACATTCTAGGATCTCTGGGAATTGGTTACTACTATGCAAAAGGGGGGGGGGGGTCTTTTGGCTAGTAAAATGATTGTTTCACCTCAGTTTTCACCCCAATTAAATACAATTGTAGTTTCCTAATACTATACTGTGAGCTATCTTGAGAAAGCTATTAAAAACAAACAAACAAACAAAAAACCAGTCATACTTTTGTTTGAGACTGTTTATCATATAGCCAACACTAGCTTTAAAGCTGCTATGTAGCCAAGGATGGCCTTGAACTCCTGATCCTCCTCCCAATTGCTGAGTATGTGACATGATGCTCAGCTGGAAAACATTAAGTTGCCCTTTCTACCCCCTCTTCCAACTGTAATTTGAGATAATTATAATAATAACTTAAGCTCTTTGTTAAACAGATGTTATGATTTCCTATTTCACTTTCGACCTGGATTTAAAAGTTTACTGTATTGGTGCTAGTGAGATGGCTCAGTGAGATGAAGGCACTTACAGCCAAGCCTGATGACCTGAGTTCAAATCCTGGAAGTCATGTGTTTAAAACAAAACAAAATAAAAACAAACAAAAAAAAAAACAAAAACAAAAAAACCTACTCCTAAAAGTTGTTCTCTGACCTTCCCAGGAGTGACAATGGCACTTTTCTTCTTCCAAAGAACTTAAATTTTAAAGTTTACTATTTTTACTTTTATTTGGGAAACTAAGTAAGAAATAATTCTTATTTAAAAACACCATACTAAAGCCTACTGCTGATTATAACATGTATTTTGAGCTGAACTGCTTCCATATCTAGTTTTTTTTTTTCTGTCCACAACACACCAACTGTAAACTTTTCTCCTCTTTTCCATTAGTGATGTCTTTCCATACACCCTCCCACCTATTCTAACCATATGCTGGCTAAGCTGGAACCTTAGCAGATATTCCCTGGACCCCCTCACTTACTTTTAGCTGCCCTATTAGTAAAAAAATCTGCCCACTATAAATCCTAAAACATTTTTCCAGGCCATCCCTTCTGAGTTCCTTTTCTGCTTCATGCTCAGAAGGCATCAGCTACTGTGCTCATTCATTCTAACTGCTCTACTTGCTGCTCCCTTGAGTCTTCATGATGCACAAACCAGGCCACAAAGTTCCTATGTTTAGAATCTCTCTAGGGGTTTGGAACAGTCCATAAACTGAGAGCCATCAGGATTACCTTCATGCACAGTGCGCCCTCTAGTTCACATTTCATTAACTGAGGAAGAAGGGGACTAGAAAATGTTTGCCCTTAATTAGTCCATGAATCTACCACACACTCTTAATTAGTTTGGGTCTCCATTATAATGCTAACACATTGAAAAAGTTTACTTAATCCTAGCACTGGGGAGGCAGAGGCAGAGGCAGGTGTAGATTCTGCGAGTTTGAGACCTACCTGTACCAGGGCTATGTAGAGATTGTCTCTCAAAAAACAAAATAAATAAGTCCATTATGGGCTAGCGTTATAGCTCAATGGTAGAGTACTTGAGTAGCATGCATGAGTCCCTGGTTTAATTCCCACTACTGCAAAGAATAAAACCAAGTTAAAAACAACTTCATTACCAGGCTCTATTCATCCTTTGGCAGTCACTCTCAAAATTTGCCAACTCACAAGAATATTAATGATTTGTTTGCCTGAGGGCTAGAATTCTGGTACAAGCCAGGTAAGCTCTCTGCTGACGGATCTAGTCCCAGCCCTTCAATGGTTTTACTTAACATACAAGGCAGAATTTCACACCCTTCCTTCTGTTTGAAAAATGTAATTCCTGAGGGTGGACAAGTTGACCAGTGCAATTTCCTAAAGTACAGATCATTACTGCACCTGAAAATCATACTCTGGTCCCTTCCAAACCTAAGTTTCTGTACAAGAACAAACACAAGAAGAAAACTGCTTATCCCATATGTAAACTGTTCTATTAAAAAGATTAAGTTCGGGCTGGAGAGATGGCTCAGTGGTTAAGAGCACTGTCTGCTCTTCCAAAGGTCATGAGTTCAATTTCCAGCAACCACATGGTGGCTCACAACCATCTATACTGTGAACTGATTCCCTCTTCTGGCAGGTGTAAATGCAGATAGAACACTCCCATACATAAAATAAATAAATAAATAAAAGATTAAGTTCTAGAGATTCTTTGAATGAGCTGCTGAGAACACAAGGAGCTACAGACTCCTGAGTGAACACTCTAAGAGGAACACACCTTTACTGAGGCCATGTGTGAAGACACATTATGAAGGCAAACACCAGTCCTGGTGACAGATTTTCTTTAAAACCACATTTCCTTTGAAGTGTTGGAATGTGTCAAGAACTTTCCAAAGAGTGATGTTTTTTCATTGTTGAGGCAGAAATTGGGGTTTTGCATATGCTCCCAAAGAGCTAGATCTCTAGTCCTCAAAGAGTAACTACATAGTAAGCCCTTGCACCAAATCAAAAAAAGTAAACAACGATCAAAAACAAAACCTGGAGCAATGAAAAGTTTTAGAAAAAAAAAAAAAAAAAAAAGGAAATATAACCATAGTATAATTTGTGAGTACCATACATTGAAAAATGATTCATAAAAATTAACAAATTAAATGGTAATAATATACTACTCAGAAACTAGCTGAAGTATTTATGAACATTGCACTGCTGAAAGTGAATGACCCCTCTAACAAGCAAGAATCAAGGTTGAGAAGGGGTAAACAGGGACCTGTGTTTCCTAAAGCTTTACACACACACACACACACACACACACACACACACACACACACACACACACTTTGCAATCTATAGTGAAAATCTAAGGTGAAAATCTAAGGTACACCTTCCAAAAACACTTGATTTTCTGTTTATCATTTGGGTCAAGGAAAGAACTTGTACTGTGTAAGAAAAAAGACTAAGGTCTAAGACAGAGCCAAAGTGAAGTAACCAGAACATAGGCTGGTAACAGGGTTTCTCTTACTCACCATCTCTCTGGCGATTTCCAGCGCTTCCTGCAGGCCATAGAGCCTGCCACAGACCAGGTAGATTCCATTGGCCCAGAGAATACAACCCTCGTGGACCCAAAATTCGTTGCTGTCAAGAGGTAGTTCAGGGATTTGTAACTCCAGCTCAGGACCACCTTCTGAAGTGGTAGAAACAGAGGGCTTTGTGTCCAAAACAGTCTTTTCGCTGCTGCTATCAGCGGCTGCTTTTTTACAAGGGAGTCCCCTGGACAGGGACCGAGGGCCTCCACCACAGTCTTCTGAGCGGTGGCGCCGCTTGAACCTAGGATGAGCAGCCAGGCTCCTCTGCTCCTTCTGCTGCTGCTGCTCCTCTTCCTCCTCAGTGTCAGTTTTAGAACCATTAGAAGCGCTTTTGTGCCGAACCTTGACCTTGTTCTGCATTTCTGTGGACCTTTTAGGAGGTGGATTCTTCGGAAGAGTGGCTGCATAATCTTGGGGATAAAAGGGTCCAAAGAGGTCACCCATGTTCCGGTAACTGGCCCACTTGCCACAGAGACAACAAACCAGGTGCCCCATAACAGAAGATTCTGTTACCACAGGCCCCTGCAGCATAAAGGATGAAGCTGGGAGCACCTTGCTTTCTGTGCTGCTGGGGGGAGGGGTCAGAGATCTCTGACCCTTCCGGTTCCTCACCAATTTGGTCTGTTCTTCTTCTTCAGCATTAATGATTGTACAAACAGCTCCAAGTTCACACTTATTTACTACATGGATGTAAGGGAAAAAAGACTTGTTCTTGGCATCAGTTTTATCTAGTGGCTGGGTAGCATACTTTAGCTTAATCTCTGGTTCTTGAGGTTCTACAATGGGAACTGCTTGTTTGGTTTTCCGCTTCCTTGGCTGGGCCCCAGGCTTTCTTCTCTCCCTCCTCTGCCTCTGCTTTTTTGGCTTTGGCTCTCCATCTGCAGAACCTTCTGGTATCTGAGGGGGTTGAGGAGGTGGAGGTGGCTGCTGCTGCTGCTTCTTTTGCTTATTCACACTACCAATGGGTCTCCCCTTTTTCTTTCCTGATGGGAAATACCCTTTTGGTGGGAAACTTTCTTGTTTGGGTGAAATCATGACTGCATCATTCTCCTTCTCTTCGGACTTGGGGTTTGCCTCAGGGGTCAATATGCCCACTGGAGCTACATTCTTTGAGTCAGAAAAGATTAGTGGTGCTGCCCCACCCAGAGAGCCATCTGGTCTCCCTTGGTTACCACTAGGCTTCTGTGAAGCTGTGGATGTCATAGTACCAGAGGGTTCCTTTCCAGTAGGAACTGTTTCTACATGTGCCTCTGTCTTGACTTTGTCATCCCCACTGCCATGCCACTCTTCGGAAGGCCCTGGAAGAGGCTTTTCAACGTTTGATTCCTGGTTCGTTGCACTGACTAGGTCAGATATCACTTCACCTTTTCTCTTCTCCATCTCGGCCTCTTGAGTGGCCACAGTCCCACCTTCAGGAGGACCACTTTTCAGAGACAGTATATCATCCAGTGTGACTGTATCTCCTCCAGCCTCAGCACTGTTTGTGGATGCACTCCTCCTAATATTTGGGGATGTGATCTTCTGAACTATAGCTTCCAATTTCAATCCCCGTCCCTTCCGTGGGGGGAGTATTTTGGTCTTAGCAGGGCTTGTGAGGGTGACAGCAGGACAGTTTCTATTGTCTGGGTTTGGAAGGTCCTTGGAGGCATCTCTCTTAGGGATAGCCTTGATGTCCTGACTATGAGAAAGATGGGTGTAGGAATTGTATGCTTTATCGACACCTTCTTTGGATGGGTGGAGGAGGCGCCCTTTATCATCGGTGTTACTGTTTTTTACATCTTGTGACTGTCTCTTACTGGGAATGGGGGAGATAAAAGAACGGACTCGCCGCCGCATGATTAAGGGATTTTGAGAAGAATGATCCTCTTGACCCGGAAGCCGTAACATTACATTACTAGGTTTGGATGACTGTGTGGACTCAGCTAGTCCATGTCCATCTGTCTCATGGGGTGGCCCATACCGTTTTTGATTGGACATTCCTGGAGGACCACTGCTTTTGGCTGGAGAAGTCTGTCGAGAAAGATCCCAACAAGACTCTTGTAACTTCTGAGAGCTGTGCTTCAATTCCATGCCTTTGGTAGGCAGACCATCACTAGACATGAGACAGCGCCCAGCTTCCTGAGTGCTTGGGTCATGGTACGTACCTACTGGTGGGCCATACATCATACCATCTTTGTCATTTTTCAAGGGGCTCCGTACTCTGTCAAGGAACTGCTGCTGCCGTGGGCTCTTCCGTGGTCCTTCCTGTCTATGCTGTGCAGCAGCAATAACTCCCTGAGCAGAACTGCTGGCCCAATCTTTATACTCCTCTTGTTGCTGTTGGTACATCTGTCTCTTATAATGAAGCTGGGAATTCAAACCAGTATTAGGGTCCCCATAAGCATGAGCCCTGGTGTTTGTGTGGTAAGCAGAGGCCAGGCTTTCTGAGTTTGGAGAAAAAGGCGCATGTAGAGAACTCCTGTTGGCCCTCTCTGAATAGGTCATATGTGGGTTCATGTGATGAGGGTCTCCCCCTGGGCCTCTGCTCCTGCCTGGAGACATCTTCAATTTTTCTGCAAAGTCATGATACTGAGAAGAGGACCGACCCCTCATAGTTTCCCGGCTACCAACTCTACCAGGGACCCGCCGCATTGGTGTGGGCCTGCTGTCTTGTGGGCCATAGTCTGAAATGGAATCATGTGCTGCTGCTGCAGGGCTGGCATTGCCACGATAAGTCTCATGTTTGATGCTGGTAGGATGGCAGTGCTCTCCAGATTTCTTGTTGAAACTAGCTTGAGATTTTGATTGTTCAAAGTCTTCCTCTTTTATCTGTCCACTCTGGGATTTCAGTTTTGCTTCCATGGATACCAACCCACCAGGAAGAATGACTGATGGACCTAAACTTGGGTTGAGACGTTCATTCCTCCCAATTCTGGCATCAGCACCCATGTGTCCCAATGAGTGCGCCCCTGGGTCCCTGACAATCTGTCTTAGTGGGGAAATATCACAGATCACTGACCGCCTTTCAGAAAGGGAGCCCCCAGGCTCATGGGCTGATGATGGAGGTTCTATCTCAAACTTTCTGGGAATGGGATAGTCAGACAAATTGATCTGTTTCATTTCAGGAGCTGTGCTGCCTGACTTCCTTTCCCATGGTCCCCAGTGGGGATTTTCTAACAGGGATCCAATGCTCTTGTTCAGAAGGCCCCGGCTGGCTAATTCATTGGTTTGGCTGACTAAAATGTTGGGCCTTGCAGTTCCTTCCAGGCCACTAGCCATCCCTTGATGTTCCTGAGCGCTTCTAGGATACCTTCTGTCAGGATGGTGGTGGTAACCCTGAAGCACTTCCTGTAGAAGACTTGGGAACTTCTCATTTCTACCCTTTCGCTCCCCATGGCTGACAAAATCTCCCTTTTCTTGTCCTGAAGAATATTGAGGAAAGCCACTGACATTTCGTGATACAGCTGACCCAAAACTCTCTTTGTAACTATAGCGCAAACTTCCAGGAGATTTGCTAGGCTCAGTCCTGCCTGTGAAACTTGGGCCTACTACAGAGTGGCTGCTCTGGCCATTCCCTTCTCCATTGTGATTAGAGCTATCACCATTCTTGTTTCCTTTGCTCCCTCCTCCTGGAGGATCTGGCTGTGGAAGTGATGTGTGGCTGACTTCCTTTATACCACTATTGCTAGGTGGTCTCTGACCGGTGGCAGGATCCTCCTCCTGGGAGCCTTTATCTTGTCCACCAGATTTTTCTACCCGACCTGTCATGGCTTCCCGAGAGACAATCACCCCAACTGTCTTCTCATTGACTTTTGTGTTCCCCTCAGATGACAGTGATGTGTCCTTAGCACCTGGAGAGGCAGCTTCTTCCCTAGTTGCAGGACTGGTACTGAGCCTAGGGGCCTCATTCTGAGCACCTTGTGTGGGTGAGGAGCCAGCTTTCTCTGAAGTTCCACACTTGTAGGTGGTGTCGGAGCTAGTGCTCTGGCCACTTAGTTGCCTCACTCTCTCACCTTGGTCTTCTGAACTACTGGAGCAGCCTCCATCTAATGATTCTGCCATAGGGGACTTCAGTTGTTCTTCAGGCTGCGAGGAACCCTCTGAGTTTGTACAGCTATCTGCTTTCTTAGATGATGATGAGGGCCTCTTGGAAGTCTTCTTCTGAGGTGTCAAGGCATCAGAAAGTAACATGTGCTGCACAGTATTAGGAAGATTGGCCACTTGAGTACTCAGAGCACTCAAACTACTCAACCCAGGATCTGTCAGCCGCTTTTCTGGCACCCCTTCTAATCCAAACCCTTTGAATCCTGCAGCATGGGAATTAGGACTGGGCATCATTGATGGGGTTGGACTGAGTTGGGGCATTAGCTGTAAAATTCGGTTTCTGGAACCCATGGGCACATTGCCTTGCCCACACTGGAGATTCTCGCCACTCTGCATGAGAGGAGAAGGGGTAGAGCTACAGCTTGGAGACTGCACCACAGAAGCAGCTGGAGAAGGGTTAGAAATAGGGCTGAAGTTCTGGTGAAACTGCATAGGGGACCTCACAGGAACCTCAGGCTGGTTGTACTGCCCCACCTGGCTTTGCAGGGGCAGCTTGGTGGCAGCATTGGTGTACTGCATCACATGCTGGGGGGGATGTTGCTGCTGCTGCTGTTGTTGCTGCTGCTGTTGCTGCTGTTGTTGTTGTTGCTGCTGCTGCTGCTGCTGAGGTTGTGGCTGCTGCTGTTGCTGCTGCTGCCCCTGCTGGGATCCTGGTGGAATCTTTGCCTGTTCAAAATTTTTCATAGACTGAGGTTGATAGCTATAATTTGATTGCGCCCCATACGCCTGTGCATTAGAACCCACATTATGCCCTTCATACTGAGATCCAGCATTTACACTGTAACTGCCATCATAGCTTTGTCCAGACTGACTAAAACGCTGTGGTGAAGGAAAGGAGGAGGTGGAAGAAGAAGAAGCAGAAGACTGGTAGTGTTGGCCAAACTGACCTACTCTTAATTGATAAGCAGCAGAAGATGGCAGAGTTGAGGGGCGCTGCATTGGCTGTAGATGGGATGAGCCAGAGGTTGGCTGTCCAGTAGCTTGTGGCAAAGGCTGGTGGGACTGGTAAAGCTGTTGTCTCAACTGCTGTACTTGCTGTTGTTGCTGCTGCTGCTGCTGTTGTTGGCTGGAGGCCTGCTGTTGATACTGAGCACTCCCAGGAGAGAAAGGCCCGGTGTAATCCTGCTGATAATGAGACACACCACCAAGGGCAGAGTGCTGTGCTTGAAATTGGCTCACATGACCCTCACTCCCATACTGACTGCCAAAGCTGCTCCCCTGGGGAGGTCCATAGCTCTGCACAGGCCCAGAAGGCCTTCGCTGAGGAGGCTGTGGGGTTCCTGCTGCCACGGTGTCTTTGTTGCCTGCCATGTAGTAAAAATCTCCAGCTTCTTTCCTGAAACCCTGGTAGCCTTGATGGCCTGAGGTCTCGCTAGCCATTGCTGCAGCAGCAGCTGCTGTTCCTCGTCGTCCACTACTGTTGCTGCCACTGCCACCACTGCCACCACCTGCTCCCCCAAAATTCTGGAACATCTGGGCCTGACGAGGGCTGAACTCTTCTATTCGGGATGAGCTGTGTACCTCCTGTGGGTAGCTCTGCTGGTTTCCGTGGTAACTGCTTTGCTCCCGAAACGACTGCATACTGTTCAGCAGCACAGCAGCAGGCCAGCAGCCCTCCTAGAAACGGAAAGGAAAGGAAAGGAAAGCATGAGACATGCATCTGCTTGGCACAAACAAAAAATCAAGCCTAAGTAACTCAAAGACCAGATAAAGCTGACTGCTTTAAATTTCACCTTTTTCCTTATTCTATCTATTTCTGATACTGCAAATAAGCAGATAAATGGTCTAAAGAAAGTAGGAGTTTGTAATAAGACAAAGAAAACACTAGGTATATGTAAACACATTTAAAATAGTCTTTAAAACAATTCCATTATTTGATAAATGAACCTTACAAATTCAACTGGAGTAAATATTGGGATGTGTTATTAGAAGCAATCAAAACCACAATTTTTTATTCATCTTCAGTTATAGTGAAGAAAGGTGACAAAACACATTTTCATTTCTTTATTTTCATTTACTAGACTGGCCTCTACACTGAGGAGGAGCCTCAAATAATGATGGAGCAATTGTTTCAGGGGCTATCCATGCCTACTTTACTCGCTGACTGAGAAACAGAGCTATCCTGAAAACAAAAGCCAGTTCCTCAGATGCAAATGCATCCCAGTTCAGGTTTACTGTAATTATTAACTGTCTATGGTGACTAGTGACTCTGGAATACTCAACCGTTTATTATTATGGGTAAACTATGCTCAATCACCCATGTAAACATCAGATCTAACCTCTTTTTAACATAAAATTATGTCCAAAGTGCCCTTCTTGACCTTGCCTGCCCTCAAATTTACAGGTATTAGGGCTAGATTTAGGCCAGAGAATGAGTTGTCATGATTTTAGAAGTGAGTGCTGGGAATGGAACCTGGGTCTTCTGCAAGAGCAGTATATGCTCTTACTAAGTCATCTTTCCAGCTACCTAAATGGATTTTATTTTTGCCTTTGCTTGGGCTTGTCTCTTTCTCAGAGTCAGAGAAAAATAAGACAAGGTCAAACTTCATCAAAGGACTTTAAAAACCAACTGTTTAAAAAAGAAGCTATGAAACTTACATGAGCTAATCCTATTACACTTTTCCTACAGTGGTCTATGAAGTTAGTTCTTAGTCCTCCTTGAAGGAAGCTAAGATGGGACTACCTATAGATACTAATCACATTAATCATCTCCTTGCTCTGGTCCAGGCTACCATTCCTTCTATATAGACTGTACTTACCATGCTACACACACACACACACACACACACACACACACACACACACACACACACACACACACACAAACACTACCCCTCCTGCCAGCCATATGACTTGTTCTTTTCACCTCTTTTCAGTCTACGGACAAGCATGACCAGATAGCAAAGATGTCCTCCTGGCACCCTGTTTGCAACAGCTACCTCACACCTTTACGTCTGTTCTTCCTTCCTCTCCTACTGTTTCCTCATTCCCAATACAACTGTAGTATAGTCTAATAAATAAAAACAAAGAAATGTTTAATGTGTCATCTCCCCTTAAATTTAAAATGTAAAATCCTAAAGGGCAGAGAATGCTGTTCCTTGCTATCTTCATATGTCATTAAAACAGTAAAGAGTAGAAGCTGCATGGACACTGACATGGCTTAAGAACTAGGCCTTATAGAACTAGCACCATTCAGAGTGGTGCCAAAGGGGTGAGAGAAACAAAGCATCATCAATCTAAAAGCAGAGCTGGAACTTTTACAAGCTGCCTGTAAAATCCAGGGTCCAGGTTTAAGAGGAAAAAAACCCAAACCCAACTTATCTTGGGTGTGCATGAAATAGGAGGACTTCTGAAGTAAACACGATCACAGCAGAGGGGCAGTAACCCTACTTGAAAGCTTAACCCATTTAAAAAAAAAAAAAAGATTTATTGTATGTGTGCATGTCTTTGAAAGTATATGCTATTTGTGTGATGGTGCCCCTGGAAGCCAGCTAGAATTATAAGCAGTTGTGAGCTGCCCAAGATGGGTGCGGAGAACCAAACTCAGGTTCTCTGGAAGAGCAATAAGCATTAACTGCTGAGCCATCTCTCCAGCCCCAAAATATGGACATTTTTGGTTTGCTTGGTTTTTTCAGACAGGGCCTCTCTATGTAGCCCTGGCTGTCCTGGAATTCACTAGGTAGACCAGGCTGGCCTCAAACTCTATAGGGAGCACAGAGATCCTTCTGCCTCTGCGTTCTGAGTGCAAGGATTAAAGATGTGTGCGACTATGCCTGGCTCCCATAAGGCACATCTAATATATCTTTTATCTAAAATAGACACGGGACTAGGTCTGATTATATATAATCACATGACTCAAAGCCAGTCTTTTAAATGTTCATATAAAAAAAAAATCACTTCCCATCACTTCCAAATGCTTCTGCAAGAGACACCATTTCTTCCCATGAAAATCTACTAAGGTGATTCAATATACTGCTTAACCCTGTTCCAGCAATTACATGTACTAACTCAATTCTCACAAGATCAGAACCCATATTTTACAGAAGAGGAAACTGAGGCACAGAATTCATCAAGTTCCTGAGAGCCCAGTGTGGCAGCCTCACAGGCCACATTTGTATTAGTAGATTAGACAGGGTTTTTTTTTTTTTTTTTTAAACAAGGTCATACATATGCCTCTTCAGTGCTGCCCTCCAACGCTGTTCCAGCTGGTTCTCTACCTCTTCCATCATCTTTATAACTGTCAAGAACAATTCCATCAACATCTAAACTTCCCTTGTTTGCAGCATACTTCTAGTTCTTAAAACTTAGTTCTTAGTGGCTGACAGGATAAATTGAACAAGACATAGTTGAAGGTCTGAAAAGCTGCCTCCAGAGATAATCTCCCTACAAATACTTTTCATGTTGTTTAGTTAACTCTTCTGTAATAAAAGTGGCTTCTGAAGGTTTAGAAGTATAGACATGCCATTTGTTCCCTATTTTTCCTAAAATCAGGGCTAAATATCACTCTAGATATCAGCAATTTGGCCTGGGACTGCCTAGATACTTCCAACCCTACTTCTACAGGGAAAAGAGACATGGAGTAATTCCTCTGAAGTCATGTTCCCAGCCCTCCCTGAACGTTCCTTTACCATGGATGACCCCTCTTTTCCTGTAGTAATGGTTTATAGACTTGAACGGGAAAAAAACAAAAACAATAGCCATGGGAAGTACTGGACTTCCAGTTAGTATCCTATGTGTGGTACGTGGTTGTGTTTCTCAGATAAAGCCTGGCTAAAAAAGCTTACAGAGTAAGTGGAAAAGAAAGATGTGTGCTGAAAAGAGAAAAAAAGAATGCCCCAAGGGAGCTCAAAAGACTTAAAAGTATTCTCAAAGTTGGCAGTGATGCTTAAATGAAAGATGTCGAAGAAACAGTAACTGTGGTATCTGGCAGTAACTGCAGTGTGTGGCAGATGATGAAAAGGATGACACAAAAATGGAGACCGAAGTTAAGAGAAAGAAAAAGACTCTCCTAGACCAGCATGGCAAGTACACTCAGTGTGGATGAACCAGAGGCAGAGAAAGACTGAAGGCAAAGAGAGAAAAAAAGCAGGGAAAAAGCAGAGCCAAGGCAACTTGGAAGGCAACTAGGAAGGGACTGTCCTAACAGACTCTCTAGTTTTTAAAAACTAGAGAGCATTACATGGGGCAGAAGTTCAGTTGTTCGGAATGTCTTCACAGATTTCAGCTCTCACTACACGAAAGTTATTTCTTTTCGTATTTTAGTTTGGACATAATTCTGTAATTCAAAACCAAAATAACTCATTTGTGTTGGGAACTTAAATATTTTTTTGTGCTGGGAAAAAAACAAAACAATAACAACAAAAAAAACAATAGCTAAGTATCTCCTGCAAAGTATCAGGTGACCTGCATATTCTTGGTGCACATGAAGTATAAGTACCAAAAGGTGTTCCAAGTTTATCCTTTGTACCAGTTACAAGTAAAGCAGTTAGAAAAAGCAAAATGCCAGCAACATAAATATAAACCTAAATATAAATATAAGCCAGAAATATAAACCTGAAGTATTTGCAGCTTATCACCAGCATATAAAACAACCTAATAAGTGTCTTTTGTATGGGGTGGGGGTGGGGGGTGCACGCACATACTAAAGAAAAATCAGCATCTCAAAGTCAGCTGGTCATCAATAAGGTATTTTCATGCATATCTGAAAGAGGTTTATCAATACACTTTTCTCCCCTTTCCTCATTTTCTCCATATTCTTATCTTTTCACATTTCAGACAGGGCATAGAGATGTGCCAGAGAGGTCCAGGACTTTGAGCCTATATATTCCAGTCCCAGCTTTGGACTGTTCTCTCTAGCCTGGTGGAAAGCTGGTGACCTCATTGTTTTGTAGAAAACTAGTATTAACTTTTGTTGTCTTTCTGTCAACATCTAAGAGTGTTATATTCCCTAATTCATTCTTTTCTCCTCAAAGTCCTCTCAATTATCTTCAAGAAAGTTATCTTTCCAAGTAGGTTTAACTATTGACCTTCTATTGCCAGAATGACAATAGAATACATTCCATGCTTAAAAAAAAAAGTCTTCGGTTCTCAAGATAATTCTGGCTAGACCCCCTGTGAGGATATACTGTCTGCCCTCTAGGCTCAGTCCTCACCCTACTACAAACTACTCCACAATCTAGGAAGAACACCAGACACAATGGATAGGCTCTACCACCCTCTGGCTTCTGTTGAAGTTTGAAGATAGGACAACAGATTTACTCTCCTGGCCCTGACTAGGCAATTTCTGAGGCTGTTAAAGACTTTCTACTAAGAGGGATGGCTCTGTCAGATATCTGGCAATCTAAACATTTAGCCATTTTCTTTGCGCCCAGGAAGTACTTCTTGCCCTTTAGCTCAGGAGGTATTAACAATTCATGAATGCCAGGCCAGAAGATGCCACTTTCCCAATTTGGTTATCCTTCTGCATTGCTGTCCACATCCCTTTCCACATGCTCAGCAGATTAGGAGCTGGGGCTGGGCCTGGGGTTACTTTCAGTCTTTTCCGGGAGGGAGGATTAAAGTGTACAAACAGAAGCATAAGAGAGATTAGGAAGACAGAAGAAAAAGAGAGGCTGATA